AAGAAATTTTTAGCATTTTACAAAATTTTCGTTAAGAAAAAGTCAACTCTATGTCTGTTCAAAAGCGTATAGCTGAATGATTCAAGAGAGATCAAAGCCAAAAGTGAATCAAAAATCCGGAAAATATGTATTCTTGCCATAGATCTTGCATTTCTCTCGTACTATTCGCATAGTCGTATTCCGCACAAGCGAGGCATTGCATGAATACTTCTCGCTGACTCGTTAGATTTAATTTACCGCTAAGCGAATAACCCGCGTTGCGTTTTCCTTCACGGCTTTGGCACTTCCACGTTCACGTTTTCTGCCCCTGTGGCAGCATCCTCCATTTGGGGAAGGCAGCGTAGAACATTTCGTTCCGACGAAACGGATGCGGAAGCACGTCGTGAATCGCTGCATTACGAGCCCAGCGCACTTCGCACCGCGCATTCACTGGCGAACCGCAAGAATCGCGGTCGGGTTTGAAAGTACGATGGAAATTAATTTGCCGAGCTTAACGAACCCAAGGCCCACAAAGCAGCGGTGGGTATTGCTGGCATTGCGTCGTGTTAATTACATTGAAACCAACAAAAGCAGGCAAACAGCGAAGACGGATGCTCATTTTTATATAAGCGAAGAGATATCGCGATGTGCATTCGCGATCTGATAGTCAAATTCGTTTTCTGGCATCACGAAAATATTAGTAGTTAGCTACTAGGCAAATTTAACGATTAAATAATTAGAAATAGCAAAATATTCACAAAATGTCATGTAGTTACGATTTTTCTTTATTTAATTTTCAAATTTGTTCCTTAAGCTTTAAAAAAACAGGAGTAAATTTTTTTAATCTTAGTTTTTTTCTCAAGTAAGAGATTTGTTATATTTCATTATTTTATTGTATTCCTTGTCTCAAAATGACACATTGTTTCAGCGTCACACACACACTATAGTGACTTTTCTATAAGACTGTTTCTATAAAAATTATATTATTTTTATCTCTAAAAAGAATGCAAGAATACTTTGTCATAATTGTGCTGTAATCAAAGTAAATATCAACTTTCCAAATATTCAAATCAAAATATTCTTTTATAATTTTTCTCGTGTTGTTTATAGAGTATGATATAATTGTTAGTTCCTATCTTAAGGAGATGTTAATTAAAATAGAATATTTTATTTACATTAGCTTACATTGCAAAGTAGGAGAACTTGATTTACAAAAATAAACTTAACACACTTGCATCCATCTACGAAGAGAGAGATTAGTTTTTATAACAAAATTAATCTAAACTATTCCTCGCAAGTTGTAAAATAATAAATTGCCGATCTTCTGAACACGTGTCTCGAGAGTCGCGGACCGCAGAGGATTACAAGACAGTCTCGCTGTTGGAGGTCGGTTGGGAAATTAGTTTCCGAGCTTAATGGAGTTCCATGAGCGCGAAAGATGGGCACCTCGGAGGCGACGACTGCCGACGAAAGTTTTCGCAACTTTCGCAATTTTTTCAATTAGCCGCGATTTTTCAACGGTGCGACGGAGCGAGCGGCGTGGGTGAGAAATGAAAGCAGGTCCCCGTGTTTGTTGGACTTCACTCTACTTTGTGATTCCGTCCTAACGACGTTACTGCGTATATTGGGAAAGTCAAGCGACGTTATGAAAGTCTTAGTAGCCCGCGCACCAAGTTCTTTATTCCGAGAGTCTGCGAGTGGCCCGACGTTCATTCTTCCCCTCGACAATAACTTTTCCGTCATTAATGGACCGTATTGTGCGCGCTGTATCATGTCGAGCGATCAAAACACAGCAAATGCATCTCGGTATCTCGGTGACGGCTATTTCCGCCCGACTTCCGGTTTGGATCGATGATTTATGACCCCTGAAAAGAATCGAAAAGGTTAAAAATTGTGCAGGCACGTCCGAAACTATGCTCACTCGAATTTACTGTGACTCGTTTCTAGAGACACATCTGTTCTTTTTCCTACTTGATTTTTCTTTTTCTAAATTTCTTTATTCTCTATTTAAATACAAGAAAACGCCAACACGGTCAAAGTTAGATGTTTCGAATAATATAATATATATTCTTTATTAAATCAATTTATTTCAAATTGAGCGCCGATAACGTTTGGACTTTCAACATAATCAATCTGAAACGTTAATAATCCCCTTAAATTAAATTAGAAATTCTCCTCTATTTTTTTATTTAGATTCCGCAGCAGTAATATACCTATATGTATACACATGTTTCGTTTCGCACAAAAAGTATCGCAGGATATTCACAATTATTATTTTAAGGTTTTTCTGAAGGGATAGTAGTGATTTTGGCATGACAACGAGAGTGAACGGAGGGTGGATCGCACGAGGAAGATAATTTATTTGTTGAAGCCCATAAGTTAGTTGTACTAAATCAATTGGAAAATTTCATAATCTCTTCCGCGCAAGACAGATTCGGGTGGTGGGAAAAAAAATCTCGTTCACTCGAAGGCGAACTTATTGAAGACTAAACGACAAATAGAATTAGAAAATTCTATTATGAAATAGAATAATAATCTGAAATTGACATCGCTATCCCCTTTCGAGAGCATTTAAATATCCTCGACGTTTCAATATTTCGAACGTTTCGCTAGTTAAGGAAACAAAGCTAAAATTTTTCTTTTAACGGGACAGATTTGGCGATTAATTTTCGAGCGGCAGCCAATAATTCATCCATGCTTCATTTTATTGCGAAACACGGGGCGAAACATGATGCGATCGATAATAATACGAAACTAATAAAGTTCTAACGACAAATATTATGTCTAGGTAGAATAACGAGCGAAGGGAACTTGCGATTACATCTCATTCGACATGGGATGATTTAGTAATTTAGTCTAAACGAGGGTGATTTAGTCTATGAAACTCGACAAAGTGATCTCGAGAAGTTATCTCGAGTTAATTGGAAATGGAGATCAGTCATGATAACGAAAGATACGCCATTCTAAAAGCGCAAATAATTGTATGGGCTCTAACGCTATTTTAATTTTGACCATAGTTCTGATTATATGGCTGCAATAATAATGATCATACGACAAATAAATGGAGTAAAAGTAGTTCATCAAAAATAGATCGAAATATGTAAAAAATCTGCATACTAAAAAATATGGATGTAGATTTAACACTATGGGTGTTAAATATAATTATCACCATGTTGGTGTTGATATAAACACTAATGAATTCACCATGTTGATATTAAATCCATAAATATGACATAACATATATAAGTACACTTCCATAAGTGCAGATATTAGTTTCTTTATTCCGTTAAAAAGAAAAATGAACATACTAGAATCCCTCTTCAATTCAATATTCTATTATAGATATAGGGCAAGCCCTCTAAGAACACAAAAATGAAAAAAAAATCCTAAAAATAAAAAAAATATATAACAAAACAAAAATAACACAAATAATACAGCAAAAAATAATACAAATACAAATAAAATATAAAAATAAACTATATAAAAACTAAGAAGTATTACAGAGTGAGAAACGGATACGAAAAACAAAAAAAATTAAAAATTAATCATTCAAAATAAAAACTTGCTCATGCAGTAGGTGATTGTTCGTTTAAATGTGCTTAGTATTATGACAGTATCTTAGATCCCTAATGGTAGTAGGACTGACAATAAGAGAGGGGGGAAGAGAGAGAGAGAGAGCAGGATATGTTTCAAATTACGTCACTCTTCCTAAACCGAGAGTGACAACCTCATAGAAATACGCAGTCTATTCTTATTATGTCTACGATTAAATTTACAACCATAGTGTCAAATCTACATATTGGTATTTATATCAACATCAATATAATAAAAATTATTAAATTAGCATGATATTAAATTAAAATCCATATTTTTTTAGAGTGAAAAAGATATAAGGATAGTTTATAGAATTCAAGTTAGAAAATATACATATTTAAAAATCTACATACACTCTAAAAAGTATCGGTGTAAATATCATGTAGTGTTTACATATTTCTCATCATATTGTAGATATTAACACCAACATAGAATTATATAGATATGCATGCTATTAAATCCATACTGCATCAAGATCTATTGACCAAATTTAGCACTTCCTTATTTATTATATTTATTATACAAGGAAAATGTTGGACATGCGGTGTTCGTATAATTTCAACGGAACCGGAATAGAATTCTTTCGCGTATAGACACGAGAGACATTATTAAGAAAAAGCTCACAATTGCGTGATCGCATTCGTGCAATCGTCACAATTCATTCAATCGGATCGGTCGAGGGCCGCGTGAAATACCCCTCGTCAGTGCTTTTTCACTGCTCTAACGAGGTCTTGTTCATTCGCCCTTTTCACCGTGTTCTTAAAAGCCTAGCAAGTCTTAACATCGTTCCTGGTACCACCGTCCGGTTCTCTCCTTTAACGACACGAACTTGATATCCCGTCTGCATATCGGAAAAGCCGTCGATCCGTTGGCTGGATAAAGTTTCGTTTTATTCGATGTATCGAAAAAGCGAAACACATTTCCCTTTTACAAGGGATCGCGGCGCGCATGATCGACGCGACAGGGAACAGGATACTCTTTAACAAGATGAAACGTCGAGTAAATTCGCTGTTGGTATTAATACAGCTTATAGTGACCGATCGATTAATTAACGCGGCTAACACGGTGTCTAATCATTGTTTAGACGGGGAGTATTTCGTTGCGCAAACATATGATATAGTGGATAATGGCGAGAGTAAATAGGGGCACTATTGTGTCGCAGAGCTAGCATGACTAACTGCGACGCGTTTAATTCAAGCTAACTGTTCAACTTCAAATCCTCAACAAGGATTCTCGCTCTTTAGTCGATATTTATGTAATTAAAATTAAAACGTCGAGAATACAATAAATGGTAAAGATAAAAGAGGTAAAAGATTAAATGAATTAAGAATCAATTGACTGTAAATTCAGTTTTTATCTGAACTTAATTAAAGGTTTAGGTCACTATGAGATAATTTCACGATTTTCGTTTTTTCTTGTAATTGCAGAGTCGTTAATTAAGAATGCACAATGACGCAGCGAATTTATCCGTTGTCCACGAACCCCCGCGAGGGGTCACCGGATATCCAAATGGAGACGCTCAAAGAAAATCACTCCCCCTACCAAAGAAGAATCCTATCGAGATGTAAGTATTTTATAGTCCGATGTAAGCTCGTTTAAAAGTTAGCTTTTCATTTATTACTTTTTATCACGTTAATTAATGTGAAATTAAGTTGCGAATAATCGATTGTTGGATTCATGAAAACAAAGTTTCATAAATTACTTAAAAAAATCTAGTAGAATGTTACTTAATTTCATATCGCATAATGATATAATATGCGATT